CATTCCGTCCAGGAAGTTCGATGGTATAGGATCCCAGATCGTCCCCAATATGGCTGATGAATCTTCCGAATCTGTTAATGTATTGGAATTTGTGGTTGTCCAATCTGTCATCGAGTTTGTTGACATGCATTGAATATTCGGGTAAACAGCCGCTGTCGATGAACATTCTTGTTCCAAATTCTGGGTTGGTGAAGTGGACTTGCTCGGGGATTGGGATGTCGTTTCCATTGCTGTTCATTATGATATTGTTGATGTTGGTAAGTGGTAGTGTTGTTGTAGTGTTTGCTTTATGTGAGGTTTGTTTGTCAAGATAGTTGTTCATTGTTGTGTATCTTGATTTGAAGATGAGTCGTCGAAGGGGAGGCAGTCCCTGTTTATATAACATTTCAGCTGATCAGTTGTATAACAGTGGTACTGGGTTACCTCGTTTAGCTTATCTCCCATTTAAGGTGTCTGGCGATTTCACTAAAGAGCCTCATGACTTTGTGCGTGCAGCGCTCAATTTTGCCATTGGTTCTTCATCAACAGATCGTTACTTCTAAACCTTTCATCTAGTTATTTTAGCAGAGCTTGGCGTTTCATCCCTTTCGTTCCGTTAGTCATATGGCCTTATCAAATGTATGATCAATTTCGCCGTTAGTTCTAGGCCTCCTTTCGCGTCTTGTCATGAGTAACGGTTTTTTGGTGACAGTATAACAATATCGATAGTTACCAGATCCTTGTGCAATATATCAAGTTCGTGAAGATATCGTAGCCTGTCAGTGATATTGACACCAAGCTTACATCTCGCAAGCCAATTCAATTCAACAGAGGGATCTGATAATAGCGTCTCAATGAACCGCCCTCGGCATATTCAAAGACCATAACAAATTTCTTTTCCGGATCTTTTTAATTGAAAAAAATGGAAGCCCTCTATTACTATTAATGTCATAAGCACATGTCGCAACCTAAACCTATTCGATGCTTACCCTCACTTACTCCGAGGAATCGAATTATGTTGAGATGGTCATCAATTTTGCGATGAATCTTGAGCTAAAATATAATTACGTAATCTAAGTAAACGATAGCATCCAAATTTAAATCAATCTGTCTTCGAGCATCTCATCTTCATTTTGTGAATGGAAGGAGCTTGTGTGCAACCGTTCTACCAAGTGTCTTTGCTTTCGCTTTGGAAACTACTCAATATCCACCGCCGATGCATACGGTTCAATAAAGTCCTTGAAAGGGTAATACCGAATGCTTCCATCTTCAACAATAGAAGCCATGTTTGTTGTCGACATAATGTCATTTTAGTGTGTGTGACCAATAAATAGCACGTGATATGTGGCTAAGAAATCAATTCGCCGAAAAGAGAATACCCATAAGGTGCAGTTTTCAATTGTCCTTTTGCATAAAGTTTAGAGTGTGTCAAAAAAAAGCGGAACCAATGAATGGACCAAATGCTATTATTATAGCTTATTTGAAAGCTGAAAATCAGATTTTATCGCTATGATTTTCTGGAACAAGTTTATAATGACGACACGCCTTATTGAGCCAATGAGATTGCTGCACAGCATCCGGAATACTTCTCCACTGCTTTAATCTGAGGCATTAGCTTCTCTAAATACCTTTCACAATAGCCCATAATAATCCGGTTTCTCTATTTGTCATATTTATGCATAATGAATATTCACCCCGCAAATGGTCACACACACTAAAATGACATTATGTCGACAACAAACATGGCTTCTATTGTTGAAGATGGAAGCATTCGGTATTACCCTTTCAAGGACTTTATTGAACCGTATGCATCGGCGGTGGATATTGAGTAGTTTCCAAAGCGAAAGCAAAGACACTTGGTAGAACGGTTGCACACAAGCTCCTTCCATTCACAAAATGAAGATGAGATGCTCGAAGACAGATTGATTTAAATTTGGATGCTATCGTTTACTTAGATTACGTAATTATATTTTAGCTCAAGATTCATCGCAAAATTGATGACCATCTCAACATAATTCGATTCCTCGGAGTAAGTGAGGGTAAGCATCGAATAGGTTTAGGTTGCGACATGTGCTTATGACATTAATAGTAATAGAGGGCTTCCATTTTTTTCAATTAAAAAGATCCGGAAAAGAAATTTGTTATGGTCTTTGAATATGCCGAGGGCGGTTCATTGAGACGCTATTATCAGATCCCTCTGTTGAATTGAATTGGCTTGCGAGATGTAAGCTTGGTGTCAATATCACTGACAGGCTACGATATCTTCACGAACTTGATATATTGCACAAGGATCTGGTAACTATCGATATTGTTATACTGTCACCAAAAAACCGTTACTCATGACAAGACGCGAAAGGAGGCCTAGAACTAACGGCGAAATTGATCATACATTTGATAAGGCCATATGACTAACGGAACGAAAGGGATGAAACGCCAAGCTCTGCTAAAATAACTAGATGAAAGGTTTAGAAGTAACGATCTGTTGATGAAGAACCAATGGCAAAATTGAGCGCTGCACGCACAAAGTCATGAGGCTCTTTAGTGAAATCGCCAGACACCTTAAATGGGAGATAAGCTAAACGAGGTAACCCAGTACCACTGTTATACAACTGATCAGCTGAAATGTTATATAAACAGGGACTGCCTCCCCTTCGACGACTCATCTTCAAATCAAGATACACAACAATGAACAACTATCTTGACAAACAAACCTCACATAAAGCAAACACTACAACAACACTACCACTTACCAACATCAACAATATCATAATGAACAGCAATGGAAACGACATCCCAATCCCCGAGCAAGTCCACTTCACCAACCCAGAATTTGGAACAAGAATGTTCATCGACAGCGGCTGTTTACCCGAATATTCAATGCATGTCAACAAACTCGATGACAGATTGGACAACCACAAATTCCAATACATTAACAGATTCGGAAGATTCATCAGCCATATTGGGGACGATCTGGGATCCTATACCATCGAACTTCCTGGACGGAATG